AAACTTCGGAATATTACTAATTTTGTGATGCTCTTTCAAGCTGTGGTGAAATGTTTGTCTATAGATCAAAATTTTGTTCATTAGGGAATAGGTCCATTGAACACAATACCTTGGCATACCTTATTACCCTTGCACGGCTTGCAGGATTTGTTTGCTTATCCTCATGTAAGTTATGTGCTGTCATCCATGTAAATTAATCATGACTTACTTATATATTGGGATATGTTCCAACTGTTTCTCTTCGTTAATGCGATGCGTTAAGTCCGATTGCTCGTTATCATATGGCGCCAGGATAAGATAAAGAACGACATTCTTTAAAGCCTAAGAAATTTTCAAACTGAAACTTTGGAGATCATGTTGGAAAGGGTCGTTACAAATATAAGGGGTAAAATAGTGCAGACGGGACTGACCACCTGACCGACCGACCAACTGTTTGGCTGAATAATTGACTGACCAACTAACCGTCTGACCTACCAACCAACCATCTGGCTAAATGACTAAACAACTGATGGACTTGATGACTGAATGACCAATCAATTGACCACCTGGCTGGCTGAATAACCGACCAACCAACGGATCGGCAACTGACTTAATGACTGACCAACCGACAAAGTGACTGCTTGTCTGACCAACCGACCAAGTGACCAGCAAACTGACCAACCAACCAACCGACTGAGTGACTGCTTGTCCGATCAAGTGACCAGGAAACTGACCAACCAACCAACCGACTGAGTGACTGCTTGTCTGATCAAGTGACCAGGAAACTGACCAACCAACCAAGCAACTAGTTGACTGAATGGCTGACCACCCATCTGACCAACCGACTGATGCATTAGTAAGTAATCCAAATATACATGCACACATATAATAGAAATGAGAGTAGCCTGCAAGCAGGCTCTCAAGAGTTATTTCCCACCTCTTGCCACTTGTTTGGGTCTTGTTGAACTGCAGGGGTGTTATATACAGCATGATAATACTTGCAGATATTGAGATAATCTGAATCATGTTGAGCTAGCTCTATCATCAGCTTATAGTATCGCAATTTAAGATCCTAGAAAAAATATGCAAGTGAGTTTTCGTTTAGATCTGACAGAGCTATCCCATACCATCTGAAGCCAATTTTTTATTAAACCACGTTCTTACTGGTTCATTGTTATTTTCAAAAAACTTGATGCTAATTTTTTTGCTAATGATCTGTGCTCGAATGTAATCCTTTTTCGCCAAACACAATCTTATTTGCTCTAAAATAAAGTCCACTTTCTCGTTCTTCTCCATCGAACCATAAGTTTCAACCTAACAAAATACCACATAAATTTTTTAGTGTTGTTTGGTCAGAAGCTTTGCACTGTAATGTAATAAAGCTAAATTGTTAGTCTTCCTAAGTACCTGAAGCTCTTGTAAGACCTCTGCTGCCTCTGTTTTTCATGAAATAGAAAAAAAATACATGATTTATTACTTAATTATAAAAAAATATATGATTTTACTTAAAAAAAAAATACATGATTTTACTTAATCATAATGTATATAAAATTGGTGGTATGTGGTACATTGAGACACAATGCAATGACAGTTACATGTATGACTAAATGGAAACTAGGAATTTTACTCTCATTGCAATGTTGTGGAATGAGGACTGACGAACCTGAAATATCCCCATCCTCTTCTTTCAAGGTAGCCAAGATTTTTGTCAGTCGTGCTCTCTCTAACTCAACATATATCTAAACAGTGAGTGATGCAGAAGTAAAATCAGAGAGTGTACTGCTATCTACCCATGCACTAACGGTTTTTTACAACTATTAACTGTCCCCCCAAAACACTTTCAAGGCAGTTAAAATGAAGTTGTTCAAGTTAATTTGTGACATGAAAACAATTTTTTCCCTGTCAGAAACTCAGCAACATAAAAAAAAGTTCAAAACAAAAAACTGTGAAAAAGATTGTGAAGACACAATTGTTAAATTAACCATCTTTTACTAATCGATGCAGTCTGGTCTATTATTCTCAAACAAGGTACTATGTAAAGGTTATAATCTGGCAGGGGTGAACAGCCTCTGAAGCTGCAACCCAAGCTGTATAGGTAAATTTAATCTTCTGTGCAAAAATAAAACCAGCAAAAAAGCTGAAAAACCCCTCTACCTTTCCGGCAGTTACAGTTCGTAGTGTTTCAATAAATTTTAGTTTTGTTTCTCTATCTGGCGTCTGATCGACATATGTAAAAGCTTCTTGGATCATCTTAGTAACAGCCTGTTTCAGCTGGTTTCTTCTCTTTGTCAAAATAAGGATGTGCTCATTCAGGAGTTCCCACTCTTTTTGTTCAAAACACATCTTGATGACTGTAACCAGCAGTCGACTGGTTGAGGCGAGGTCTGCTCCCTTTGTTGACAAGAAAAGGCAAATGAGTTACATAATACATTGATGCAATATGGTACACAAAAGAGTAAAATAATAAAGTAGGGCGCATAGGGCGTAATGCAACTTAATTGATTAAACTTAACTTAAGCTGTAATGGGCACTACTTTATTATTTTACTGTCTAACACATGATGGTTTTACAAATGAAAAAGAAAAATTAAGAATGAAACAGAGAATGGTGAAACACGGATATATTGAGAAAGAGAGACTAGAATACTGGGACTTACAAGTCTTGTTTGTTTTTCAAGAGACAGAAGATTTTCCAAAGCTTGATGCAATTTACCTTCCTATAAAATTTTTTTAAAAATTGGCATAAGCAAGCTGACATTTTAACATTTGACTTTAAAGGAACGTTCACACGCAACGATTAATCGGCCGACAATTTCATGTTTTGCAGAATGTTAATGACTAATGTTGTCAGATGATGTTGATAACGTTTTTTTTTCTTCCAAATATCATTTAATTAAAGCTGAATCGGCCCGATTAATCGTTGTGTATAAACATACCTTCACATTCATATAATTATAAGCAATATTACAAAGCATAAGTTTTTACGGTTTGTTTTCAAGCTATCCCTTGTAGTGTAGTGGGCAAAGCAGTGGTATGCCAACCCAGAACTACCAAGTTCTATTCCTGGTCAAGCCAAATTCTTTTCACATTTTTTCTTGTAATAGATTTGGTGGTAAAAGGTTTTTTTATGTCTCTGTGATAATGGACTGTTATTTTTGTGATGAGGTTTTAGTTTTGTGCCAGGGTAGGCATTACTAAATTTTAGTTTTAACTACCAGAAACAAAGTAATGTCAGATTGAAATGTCAGATCAAAAACCACAGAACAAGAAGATCCATTGAACTTGAACATATGAGATATATTCTTGTGAATTAATTCAAGAATCTTATCAGGTATAATATATAGTCACATGGCAGTGATGGCACATAGTTTACAAAAGTAATATTTAATAAATTAAAAACTACAAATTTCAACACGGTACAAATTGAGAAATATGTACAGTACGAAGCCCAAACTTAAACTACGCTTTAGACCCGTTCTAACCTTAACTAATGCTTCACAGTTTGGAATCAGTTCATCGACAGTGGACGAGAAATCCACGTCCATTTTAACTACATTTCCTCTCGTGTCTGTTGCGGTCGCCATCTTGAAAAATCGTGAAACAATTAAAGAAAGTGTTTCCATTCGAGATAGAAAATTTCCAGAATTTCCTAAGGAACAAAGATTGATTGATTTACCGGATTAAAATTTCGGATTAAACGGATTAGGGTTAAGATTACTAATGGTAATGTAAAGCTAGAATGGTAAAGCAATGGATGGCAAGGATTAGGGTTGGAATTAAGGTTAGAATTAAGATTATTAGGTTTTTCCGTTTTTGTGACCTGTGTATAGTGTATATATAGAGTTCAGTGGATCTAAATTAGAACCCAGGCGTTTACTGCCCACTCGGTGGCGGGAATCCGGCCATGTGTAATTTTAAATTTAAATCCCAGTCATAGATGTCCCAGTTAAAAAATATCAAAGTTCAAAGGTATTTATTGTTGGTAAGTAGAAACAAGTTGTATATTTGTGCTTTCTTTGTGAGATGAAGACATTTATAGTCGCAGCATTTTGTAAAACAATGGTAAAAAGGCCTAAAAAACTACGAACAAACCACAACCGCGTTGTTGGTTTTGTTCTACTGAGTACGTGTTGCAAATAAATTTATAATTTATATAGACTGTTTATTTATTGCTATACATATATTTCCTCATGGACATACTGATTTCAGGGCCTGTTTATATGGAAGCGAGCGCCTGTATGGAAAGAGACTTTTGTATGCTGGACATGTGAGCCAAATACTAGTAAATATATTGCTGTACAGCTGGCTGTACAGGGATGGAAATTTTACCTGGATGGAAATTCTCCATATAAGCACTCACAAGCGGGCTAGCCCGGTTGCCGGGATGAAATTTCAAAGATACAGCCACAAGCTATTTTTAACAACTGTCAAAACCATATCAAAACAACAAAATTGTCCTGGCAAGTGGGATGAAATTTTCTCATATAAACACCAGAGAAATTCATCCCGCTTACCAGGCTGTCTTGCTAAGTGGGCCAGCCTGGCTTCCATATAAACAGGCCCTTAGGTATGTATAACAGCATGCTCATGAGTAATACTGGTCTTTAAGGTATGTATATGACTATGGGCATGAGCATACTGATTTTAGGTATGGTCATGAGCATACTGATTTTAGGTATGGTCATGAGCATACTGATTTTAGGTATGGTCATGAGCATACTGATTTTAGGTATGGTCATGAGCATACTGATTTTAGGTATGGTCATGAGCATACTGGTTTTAGGTATGTATATGAGTGTGGTCATGAGCATACTGGTTTTAGATATGTATATGAGCATGCTTATGAGCTAGCATGTTGGTTTTAGAAATTTACATACGACGGAAGTTTTATATTTGACTTACACAGGAAATTTTATTCTTGCATTTTGCTGCCAGGAAGAGAACTATACTTTTTAGGCCTGTGTAACTGAATCAGTTAAGCTAGGAGGCAAAATACTATTCTCATTTATACTTGATCAATCAAAAACAATGGGAATTATGACAGTCAGCTGGAGATAGCTTATCTGCTATCTATATGTGAGAGTTTTCTCAACTTTCATGGCTTCATCAAACAAGATTCATGCAGATAGGTTGAGAGGTTGTCAAGCCAGGGTTTTCTTAACTGATGTTCATTGCTTCATCAAACAAGAACAAGAGTTGTATGAGAGTTGGCAAGATAGTGCTTACGTCAAAGTTTCTCAACTTTTATTACTTTGATCAAATGAGAACTGTGTTCATGAGAATTCACTATTAAAGCATGAGTACCGGTACCCAGGGGTACCCATTATTATTCATTTCTTTAGAAATTGATTGTTTTCATGGTGTATGAACACAGAAATATTTGCATATAGCATGACCAAATTGTCGGGCTGGCTTTGCCACTGCCAGTACCTGGGGAGTTTTAAACCTTGTCCCCAGTTTATATTTCTCCTTAAGAGTCCAGCATGCGCTTCTTGCTTAATTGGTCAAACAAGAACATGATCATGCACTGTAAAAAAGATTGGTTAAATCAGCCAATAAACTGATTATCTCAGATTCATGAGTCTGCATGAGACAATCAATTTGTAGGCTTGTAATTGTATTTGTTTTTACAGTGTGCGCAATTCAACAAAACAAAACAAAACATTTTTCCGTTGATGGCTTTTTCCATGAATACATACTTAGTTTATAATGTGAAACTATGAAAGGTGTGTTTAAATTGGGTTTGGTAATTGATGGATAATCCAAGCTTATGTACTGTTTAATAGACGAGCAGGAGTGTTTTATTAGGTTTAAAGCCACCAGCGCGCATCGCGAGTGGCTTCAGTTAGACCTAATAAAACACGACCTGCGAGTTTATTAAACGGCTTCAAACACGACTACAAATTCAATAGAAATACTGTCCTATTAGTATTCTTTTTATAAAGAATACTAATGAGGACACGACTACAATAGATACTGCCTTATTAGTATTCTTTATATAAAGAATACTAATTAGGAGTGTTTTATCAGGTTTAAAGCCACTGCACGTGACATATGGCTGACATGATTTGCCAGTGAGCTTACGAATTATTAATGAGTGTTTGAAACACAATTTAAGACCTTTTTGCAAGCATTCCTGGTTGGGTCTTAAATTGTATATACAGCTATTTCAATTAAGGTTGTCCCCGAGCAAAGCGGAAAAGTCGAATACGATCGCGAAAGGCTGCTGGGAATCGCTAATAAATTCATTCATTACACTGGCCTGTAGGCCAAGTGTCTTAAATCCCTCTTTTTCTGTTTTTTCCGTACTCGAGAAATGGAGTTTGCGTTAGCTCATCGCAGGCTCACCTCGGTGTATATGATAAGCTCGTATTTATGTACGTAATAGTCGACTCATGCTTGTGGTACATGTTTCGTTTATTAGCCCATACACTTGTACGCACGCGCACAATTCCAAACTCCAATGGCGACTTTTCACAGAGTGATCAAACTATATTTTACACAGTTTCGCTGAATTTTCAAAGAATTGTGCCGGTTTCCTGTGGACATCCGTTATGTACTTGTGTTAATTTTTGCGTCGCACTCTGGACTTTCTTGCCTGTTGAATTAATTTAATGTTTTTCTTTTTGTATTTTAATTTATTAAACGACTAGAAAACCCCAAAATTTCATAAATTTATACCCAGGAAATTTATACAATATATTGGAATATAAACAAGGACAAACTCTCCTAATTCCTTACGATAGTGTTAGTCAAATGTCGACAATATACCTTTAAATACTTGTATTAAAATCCGCGCAGTACTAAGAATTAAGAGAATTCGCGTAGCTCTGGCGGCTGGGTGCGTACTGCGCGAAATATAATTCGCGCGAAAAGCTTTGTGGTAGCTATACTAAAGATAAAGCGTGCCTTCAAAATACCAACAAGAACTAGAACCATTATTGTATGGTTCTCATTTGCTAGACTTGCCACAAGTCGACCTCGAAGAAATGCATTTCGTTCGAGGTCGACTTGTGGCAACTGGCAAGTCTATTCATTTGCCTGATATAATAATATTTAGTTCGACGCGAATTTTAATACAAGTATGGTATCATATTTCATAATATAACAAACAATGTAAACTTGCCATACATTTTGCCGAACATAACTTCGGCCCCTTTGGACATATCTTTTTCGTAATAATATTATTGGGACCAGAATCGAAAACACTATTTATAGTGTTATTTTCAAGCTTGTGTCTTGGGATTTTCATCTTTTATTTCGGTATTTACAGAATATTTATATTTTTAGCGCGGCGATCAAAACAACGCGCTGTTTAAGAAAAAACGGAAATCGATTCTGTAGGTCGGCATGATTTGCATGTGCATCAATCGAGCTATAAACGTGCGTGCGAGTAAAAACCAAATTCAAAAATTTGAAAAATTCAAAATAAATATTCCTACTCTGTGCCGTATTCAAACGAAACTTTGTACATGAAAGCGCTTGAATACAAGATGTATTTTACTCACATTAACTCTAAGCAAATTCTGAAGAGTTACCTGTTCTAGGGTGCATTGCATGTCAATGGGTTAATAAGAGACCAATGTCAGATGTGTTTGTTAACCCATGTACTGACAGTACTCTGCTACTAACAAGTAAAATCATCTGGCGTTACAGTGTAAATTGGTCTGGCGTTAGCCAGAGTTAATACTAAATTGCATTGTCAGCTAATAGGTTAATAGACCTTAATGTCCACTTTTGACCCAATGGCTCCATTTTCATGTTGGCTATTTACTCGTATTCCGTGCACACAATTTAAGAATGAGTTTGTGAACGGGCTTAAATGATAAACGAGAAGGAAACATTGGGGATTGAATAATATAACCGAGAATTGTCTGGAAGTATAAATTTTTGCATTCAGTTTATACGCCATAAAGGCAGCACTTTCCTTGCGATAGTAACTCCTAGTAATAGATTTGCACCATTACGTCTCCCGAAAAGATCTTTTATTTTTTTAAAAAGTCCATAAAATTTGCTTGCGGTTTGAGATTTGTATTCCTGCCTTTTGCACCATAGCACGTATCTCGTTATTTTCAGGCCAGTGTGAACGCCTGAGCAGGCGTCTTGTTCATTAACGATTCCCAGCAGCTTTTCGCGCTCGTATTCGACTTTTCCGCTTTGCTCGGGGGACAACCTTGATTGAAATAGCTGTATATATGCTCACTTGGATTATCCACCAAACCCGGTATTCTAGTTTATAATTATATCATTGCTATAGTTGACAAGCAAATTTCGTGCTTGAGCAATGCGTAACGAAGCGCGGTTTGCTTTAGCCTGCGCGCAGACTATATAATGACATTATATAGGGCCAATGAAAATTGATATCATGTTTCTCGTCCACAATTTTCAAAAATTTGGAGCGGGATTTTTTCATTTTTCATTATTTTTTGTATTTGAATTCTGCTTGTCAATAATTTCCTTGACCCAGTAAAAACCCCCATAAAAATCTGAAGTATTAAAAATTGGTGTATAATTCATTTTAATTTAATACGTCCTACACTACAGTCTACAGACTACAGTATATTTCTTTACATACCAGGGCTGACATGAAAAATA